AGGCAAATTGTTTATCTCTGTGTGGTTTCTTTGTGTGTATGTGTTTTCACTTGGGAAATACAAAGATTTGATTTAGAAGTGTTAATTACTTTAACATCTAGATCTGTACTTTGGGCACTTTATTTATTTATTTTGATTGAAAAGGCATATTGTTCAGAGCAGCTCCCCTTTCCAAGCAATTAAGTGCTTCTGTTTCTTTTCAAATGTTTTGATAATAGCTCTGGAATTTTCTTTTTACAGAGTGATCCTTTTGTGAATTAAAAAATATACCATCCCTTCAGTATATAACAAGTTAAAAGAGCATTTGTTAACTTACCTTTTCTGAGAACAGATCTTGTTTTGTCCTCACTGTCTGAAATTACGCAAAGGTGAAGGGGAAAATAAGCTGGGCTTGCGCCATTTTTCTCATTTGTGAACATTTGGGGGGTACTTAAAAGTATGAAGAAGCATTAAGATCAATGCAAGCTATCCTGAGAGATTTATTAATTGTATTTATTAAATCAATTTATATAGCCGCCCATCTCACCATAGGCGACTCTGGGCGACATACAAAAAAGCTAAAAACAAAAAATATATAAAGCAAAATAAAACAGAGAATAAAAGGGTGTTAAAAATGAGAGAGCCACTTCACTAATTCCCCCGTCCCCTGGGGTCCCCAGGCCTGCTGGTGTAACCAAGTCTTAAGGGACTTCCGGAAGCTCAAAAATGACGAGGCCAGTCTCACCTCAGAGGGAAGAAGATTCCACAGCACAGGCGCCACAGCAGAAAAGGCCCACCATCTGGGGCCTGCCAAATGTATCTCCCTAGGTGATGGAACCTGTAATATGCCCTCTCTGCTGGATCTGGGAGGTCGGGCAGATGAAATCAGGGAGAGGCGGTCCCTCAGATAGAAATGTTGGATAAATACTGTCTCCCTAAGAATGTGTATTTTTTGTTTAAAAGAGATCTTTTACGTAAAATAAAACCTTCCACGTTTTTCCAGGGCAGATTCCAAAAGACAAGAAACATACCTAAATAAAATACATAATCTAATGCATTTCAAAGCTCAAGAAAATGAAAATGAATTTTGCCTGATTTTGGAAAAATGAGATCACTAGTATTTCAAGAGTCTTCCTGGGAAGTAAAATTGATGATCCAAGTGTACCATTGACATGGCTTTGCCTCTGGTTGTGCATGGTATATATTTGGGAACAGGAACATCTGGGGGAATGGTTTTAATGTATAAGCTTTAAAGTGGGCTGAGTAAGCAGAGGTACTTGGTTCTAAAATGCATAATATAGTGCCAACTTTTTGATTTGTGATTGGGCAGAAAGCCATCTTAGTTTTTTGAAAAAGAGTGAGATAGGTTTCACAAACACTTTGATTCAGCAATCAGGTAAATAATTTTGTGGTAACTGAGGAGCCTTAAATAGCCCCACAAGTTATTATGTGAATCCTAGATGTTTTCAGAACACATGTCTCTCTTCTTTGTCTGAATTCAGTGAATTAGAATTGTAGTGTTGGTGGATTTGTTCAGCTCAAATCCATGAACATAAAATTCATAAATATCACCAGAAATCAAGTCAGCTTGAAGGAGGCTTTACATCTGGATTGCTTGTGAGCTGACATAATGAAGTGCTTCACCCAGAGGATGTATATTACACTACCTTGATGCAGGGAAGCACCTAATAGAACTGCATCATTCTGCTTTTACAGTCAAGGCAACCTCATTCAGTCATGACCACAGAACTTAGTACTGACCAAGTGAAGCAATGCAGAAGCCCTGTGCTGCTAAATAGAAGTAGGACAGTACTTCATTTTACAGAGACCGTTCAAAATGTGTTTTGATCACATTTCCATGACAGTGAAGAATCCCTTTAAAGTTCTGTTCAGTTCTAGTTTCTATGTCAGTTCAGAAGTTGATACTTAGAGACCACTGAAATTCCTGTTGCTCTCCCTGGAACCCTCGTGGAATGGTCAAGGCAGTGCCCTGCGCAGCATTTTGCCAGTGTTATCACAGGTAGTGTTGTCATTGTTGTCATGTACCGCACTGCCTTTTTCTGCATCTCCTCCCTCAAATTCAACGCCTTGTTCGAGCTCATTGTTATTATTATTTTTTCCCCTATCTTGGCAGACTAGGTGCAGCTGCTAAGAGCTCCAGGATAATGAATTGTTTCATATTTTACTTGTCATTCTGACAAAAAAGTTTTGTCCTAAGATGCATCACAGAATGCTGCTTGGATTATATTATATTTACATCCTTTGTAGGAAATTGAGGCCAATACACACACACACATGTACACACACAGGCAAATTGTAGGTCAGTAATTATAATGCAGGATGATATTAAAATCTACTTGATTTATAACTAACGAGCTCTGTAGTGCTTTCCATGCTAATGAATTTCAACTGCAATGGTAAAAAATACAGTTTCTTTTTCAGTTTGAATCATTAAGCAAAGGTTATCATTATTAAATGTAAGTTGATTCAATTCAATACGTGAGATACTTTCTGCTGAATGTAAGTACATTATAAGTAATACTTTAGCTGGTACTAGAATGGCTTCCCCCTTTCACTTCCATTGAAGAGGTAACTCTGCATGCATCCACTGTAATGAATGAGGATGTCTCTATATCTCCATAGTGTGCATTTGCATCAGTACTCCCATTATTATCCATATGCAGGTTTTGAATGATAAACTTCAGGAAGGTAGCAACACACTTGGTAATCCATACACAGCACCGATTTGTAGATTGTTGCAGCTTCAGTCTAGCAGAAGGTCCCAAACCTGAACTCATAATGCAATAATCAGATCAAGTACTGAGGCAAATACAGAAATAAGTAAGTATTTATATGAATTTTAAGGCTCAGTCTTCATAAGACTATTTTCTTGGAAGAAGTGTCTATCCAGTAGCAATCATTTTATCCTGCCATTCTTTAAACAATTACTACATGTGAGGACAAGTGATGCTGAAATGTACTTCAGAGAATTAAGAACTGTTAACTGGAGTGGGACAACACCATCTGCCTTAATGTTGTTAGATTTGGATTTGGTTTTTTAACAAGATTTCACTATATCCTTTAAAGCTGTTGCCATAAAGTTGATGCAATGATATCCACAAATCACACTTTGGCATTTTAGTAAATAATTATATTTGGAAAATGAAATGTGCTGCATCTTGAAGGATTGCATAATTCTACTCAATTACTATTTGTGGCAGTGAAAGAGGTGGTGGCAATCAATCTGTATTTAGTAATTAAAAATTGCTATGACTTGGATCCAAATGTACTCTTGCATAAATGAAAGGAATTTCTATTAGTTTATATCTTTATTAGAGCTCTTCTGGACAGACCACAGACCTAGCTAACCAAAGCATGGTCAGTCATGCTTTGGTCACCTTCTGAACAGACTACTGCAATGTGCTGTACATTGGGCTTCCCTTGAAGAGCATCCAGAAGCTGCAGTTGTCCAGAACACAGCAGTGCAGATAATCATGGGTGTTTCCTGATTTGCCCATATTTCACCTTTGCCAGACAAGCTACACTGCCTTCTCATAGGCTTCTGGGTGCAACTCAAGGTCCTGATGGCTACCTATGTAATGGGGCCAGGATACCTGAAGGACTGCCTCTCTCCAGTGATTTATATCTGCTCTGTTAGATCCAGCAGGAGGAGCATGCTTCAGGTCCCATCCATTAAAGAATACCGTCTTGCAGGATCCAGGAAGTGTGCCTTTTCTGTCACGGTGCCTGCCCTCTGAAATATCTTACCACCTGATATCGGCCCTGACTCTGCAGGGCTTCCGAAAAGTGCTAAAAACCTGGCATTTTACCCAGTTGTGGGGGTCGGGGTCAGTGAAGTTACTAAACCCCAGGTGGTTTGTTATTTTGTGGTTTTTACTCATGGCCGCCATTTCTTTTTCTTTTTTTATTGTAGGCTTTGAATTGTATGTTTTAATGGCCATGTTTTAATTTGTTTGCCACCCAGAATTGCCGTGACAAGAGGGGTGCCTGTGTAAATCTAAATAAATGAATAAAATGCTATATTCCACAGAATATCCCTTCAGCAGCCTGCATAATGAACATAGCTATCATTGCACTGTTTTGTTTTGTTTATTTGCTCCCCAGCAAATAACAAAGCTAGGTGCAAATTGCTCTTGTTTTTATAAGAAGTCTTCATGATTTATCAATTACTTCATGAAAAGGATGGGAAAAAACTGGATATATAAAGATTTAAATGCAGGGAAAAGTGAATGACAGATTTATTCAGGCAGGGGTTTGAATACTTAATAATGTTGATTAATACTTAAAATTCTAGTTATTCAACCATGTTTCTGGTGTTGAATTTGGAATTAAAGTTCCAAATATGAGATATATGAGGGACATTTGCCCCTGCCTATTATCTAGCCATCAAAATGAGTAGTCTCTGCTAGCCTTTTAATCCATATGATTTGTCTATCTTCTAAAGCCATCCAAGTCCTTATATCCAATGATAATAAATTCCATAGTTTAAATATGAATTGTGTAAGAAAAACAGCTTGCTTTTATCTGAACTAAATGCCCTACCAGATAGCTTGGTTAATGAGAACGAGAAAAGAAAAGCTCCACATCATAAACGGAAGTCTCATCATATGGTGTAGGAGAACCTTTCTATCCCCCTTGATCTCAGGTCATTAAAAGAACAAAAGCTCTGTGTTTTCTGATCAGAATATCCAAACTGAGCAATAGAGTGAAGAACAAATTTAAAAGCCTACATTTAAAAGGTTGAATTCAATATGTGTTGAAGAAGTGCTGCATTAAAAGACCAACAATGTGAGTCTGTCATACCGAACAAATATTTCAAACAGATGTTTCAACCATCTATTTGAGCAGGTTCACAAAGAGATTCATAACTTTTGGAAGGCAGTGTTTTCATCTGAAAGTTCTGATCATGTAAATCTTTGACATTTAAAATGATTTGTGACATTTAAAAATCCTGTCATGCTAACATGGGGTGTTCAGAGTATTGCTATAATTTCTTTCAGGCATGAATACAAGCAGGAGTGAGACGGTGAAAGAACCACCCTTAAAGCCTTCCAGAAGATCCCTGCCATGTCTTGCTCAGAGCCAAACCCACCCACAAAATCTCAGCAAGCATTCCTCATTTCTTCAGTCAAATCAAGTGATGCCTTTGCCCCAACCGCAGCCTGTGAGTGCAGAGGGATCAAGTGCTACAGTCAATGTAGTATCAGAACGAGGTGAGTGTTGACTTAGTCAGATCTCTCATTTCCAATTCATAATACACTCTCAGTTATTGAGCAAACCAAAGCAATTCCGTTACATTGAATTTTGTCAATGTAAATTACTTTGATGCATGTTTTAAATTCCCTTTTAGCTAAAGTGATGGAAACCTTGGAAAGTAATTTACTCAAGTTATCCAATACAGAATACAGTGATCCATTCTTAGGTAAGTTTTCTCTGCATAGTTATTTTCTATAGTAATTATTAGAAATAGCCCTATTTCTGTTTTGTGGGGAGAGGGGACTTCAGCCAAAAATTTCAATTACTATTATTTCATATCTATACTAGTTCCTGAATTTATGTGCATAATCCTTCAGCAACAAAATACCAGCTCTTTGCTAACACCATGGGGAATGGGCTACTATGGTTTTCCAGTTCTCATCAATCATCAAGTCATCAGCATTGTTACCAGGGACCATGTGAGCTGGGGCTGCTGGGAGTTGTGGTTCATGTTCCCATCCTTGACTCATTTCAATTATTAGTGCAAATACTGTATGTAGATTAAATGTCATGAAATAAATCAGACTAGCATGTATATGTCTATTAGATTTATATTTGACCTTTCCTTCAAGCGGAAACTTGGCAAGCATAGCATTTCCTCCTTCAGTTTTTCACATTAAAACAATCCCATAGCATAGGTTGGACTGAGCAGAATAATTAGTCAAAAGTCACTTAATTAGTTTCTATATCTGAGGGTGAACTTGAACTTGAGTTCCTTAGTCTAACCCAATGCCTTAGCCTATTCTCCACACTGTACTTTGATACAATGGCATTACTTTCAAGTGAAGTGGAAATTAGATTTAATGTGAGACACACATCTGTAACACATCTGCATGTTCAGTCTCAGCAGTTCTCTGTATATTAGTTATCGTGACTATCCTGAAGACATGCTAAAGGTGTCCTTGGAAGAAACAAAAAAACCAGCAACATTTTTGTTGTCATTACACAATACAAGTAATAATTCAAATACTTACAAGAATGATGTTGAGATACTTTTTTTGCTATTTTGTTTTGCATCAGACTTTGTTTCCAATGATCTCATTCTTCCCTAGAATATTTAGAACTGCAACTGTCAATTTTAGAGGAAGACCCCTTGATTTTTAAGGTTGAATCATCCATCCTCAGTGGTCTACTACTTAACTGAGGCTTGTTCTTCTTTGAACTACTTAAGCAGTTGGTTTCAAACAAAGAAGACCAACACATCTCGAGCCTGTGCTTCAGCAGTGATAGAGCTTACCTAGCATGCGTGGTGAATGAGTTTCATTCTTTCCATGATCTACTATGAGCTGCCCCTTGGGGATGTTAAGGATGGATCTGAATTAAGTGAGATAAATATTTAATCAAGTAACTTGAAGGAAGGAGAAATAAATGGAAAACAGTAAGAGAGAGCTGCAAGAAAGTGGTAGACAAAGAATATTGCATAAAGTCCAGTTGATTTTCAGCTCTACTGTAACATTGTCTTTAGAATTATACATTTTGGAGCATATAGACTACATTTGGAACATATAGACTACATTCTTGCTTTTGGATTTTGTTCTGTATTACTGAAAAATCCATGTGACAGCATGATGGATGGAATAAGCTGCAACCAAAGATCCATTTTTTTGGTCTACCCTATGAAAAGCTAAATACCATTTCCCTTTTTTCTGAACCATTGGCACTCCTAGGAAAGTGAATGCAGTTGACCATATGATTACCATTGTGAATGTAGGACTTGGCAACCGATTCAGCATTGCTTCTAACCTGACTCTTAAAGAATCCTGCTTAGCCACATAGCTAAGAAAACAGACCCCCAGAAATATACATCCTTGAAGAAAGTGGCATTCAAAGTGATAGTAGTGAAAAACCTACACGTTAAGAAAGCATTGTTAACTGCTTAAATTTAAATGACTTTAATGGGGCTTATGTGAGTGTCCTTTGAAATTAGACATATACCAAGTCCAATATATACATAACATACACTGCTGCAGTTAGAGATGCAATTTGTGAGGCTGGTTAGAGATTAGATTCAAAAAGGGCATGAAACAAAGGGGAATGTTTATCTCAGCTGCTTTGAGCAGAACCATATCAAACTGCAATACTAGCTAAATGAAATGGACAAACAACTAAGACAAACAAATTGTAGGCTAGCAGAAAAGCAGCTTAGAAGGAGCATTAACCAGAGGAAAGTTCAGGGGAATTCTATTGGCATCCAAACAGCAGGGTTTTGTTTTGTTTTTTTAATGTTAAGACAACCCAATTTGCTATTATGTATGAATATATAAATTAAACATAGCTAACTATTAACACTGTATAATGTTTCAAATTCAACTCCAAAAAGGTGCTGGGGGGTGAGTTTTAGAATAAAGCAAAGTCTGTAACATTTTAAAATAAATATATCTTTTCCCACAACTTTATGGCAGCTATAGAGGATAGCAATTCAGTCCTGGGGGGAAAAAATGGCTGTTTTCAAGAGCTGCAGACAGCACTAAGCTTGCATTCCTCTGTCTTCCAGTTTTGGAACTGAATATGAAGTTTTGTACAACTTATTAGTACAACCCTAGATCAAACTGTAGTTTCAGATTCTAGTTTAACTAACTGTAATTTTACTTAAACTATAGTTTAAGGTTAGAATAGAATAAATCATTGTGGTTTATTCCAAACCACAAAAGAAAGCTATAAACTCTCTGGTGAACAATGAGATGGTAACAATGTAAATAAAAAAATTAATCTAAATGAGAGCAAAGTGAATTATAGTTTATAACAATAATTGTATTTGGAGAAAAGGTCCCTTATAGCCCATATGTTCCCTGAAAGCTAGTCTGAAAGGATGCAGGAAAACAGTATGTGGTTTATAGAAAAAGGAGAGATTTGCAAACATTGCCATTCTCCTTCCATACAATGGGAGACTCTATTGTATCTCAGCCCCTTTGAAAAGTAAAAGGATCCCTTCCATTCCCTAAATCCAACCCTCCATGGGCAGCTTCAAGGATGATGAAGGGCAAGTATCATCACATCCATCATGATATCATTGTACAAATGATGTGAATTATATAATTTGTATCAGTCCTATCACAGAGGACATCAGTGTGGCTTGTACCAGACATCTGTGCAACCTTTTCCTATGAATGTTTTTTAGCTTCTAGAAGACATGTGAAGATGCATATATACAAGCAACTTTACACAGAAGATACTTTATGTGCAAAACCATAAACAGTATATACTTCTTAGGAAAAACACTGTTAGTTTCAGCCTCATACTGGAAACAAGTCACGTATGTCAATCTGTTTGCAGAGAAAACTATGAAGTTGGAATATTAATTAGCCTACCATCATGGTGTCAGAATATTTATTAACATACAACCTTGAGATGTCAAATATACTGCCAAAAAAAAACAAGAAAGAAAGAAAG